TATATTATACACATTTATGTATACAAAACATTTATATATACATATATATATATGTATATATATATATATATATAAGTATATTATATATATATATATATATATATATATATATATTATATATATATATATAAATGTGAGTGAGTGAGTGTGAGTGTGAGTGTGAGTGTGAGTGTGTGTGGTGTGTGTGTGTGTCAACATACCATATATTGAAAGTCTGGATTGACTCCAATCCAGCGATGTCCAAGAGTCGTCCTTTGATACCCTCCATGTCAATGGTCTTTGGGGTGGCCTGCATCAGAACCCGACTAGTGCGCTTAACGACCGGGAAAGATGCCATCATAAGGATAGTTGCCACAAGGCAGCTGTTATATAAATACACAACGACAGAGATCATGGCTATGTGAGGATACTATAAAAGCACTGGCTGCAAGGCCGTTGTTTTATAATATAAATAAAGGTAGGTTTATTGCAAAAACGTATCTACGGATGTGAGAATACGTGATACCACTGGTAGCCGAGGCACACGAGGATAATTGCTACCAAGAGCTGATACAGGAACGACAAAACATATGATAATTTTTTACGAACTCGTTCGCAATTAATGGAGCAGTCTTTTCGAGTCCACTCCCGTCGACGCCACGACATCGCCTAATAGGTGTGAAATACACGGCATACATACTACATATCCGATAGAACACAAATCAACACGATAAAATCACACAACCCCTTAACTAAACCTACACCTAGCGCATGCATACTATATATTCGAAAAATATATAGATTAACACGGTTATATCACACAACCTCCTAATTAAACTTACACCTAGCACATGCATACTATATATTCGATAAAACATATATTAACACGATTAAGTCACACAACCTCCTAATTAAACCTACACCTAGCACATGCCTACTATATATTCGATAAAACACATATTAACACGAGTATATCACACAACCGCCTAATTGAACCTACACCTAATGCATATACAGCAGATCACGTACGTAATCAGCGGACCAATAGAATAGTTGTGCAGACTCCTCAGAATGTGATGGCGCAGTCCTACGCAACATCACTCCTGCCGATCACGCGGCATCGCCAACTAACAGTAGACACACTGCATGCATATCATATATTCAATACAACACGTGTCAATATGATTATATCGCACATTCGCCCTGAATGCACCTTCACCGTCATGTACCACACACACAGAAGTAGTACAAAACTTACGTAATCATCGGATCGATCAGGTAGTTGTGCGGCGTCCTCATGTAATGATTGAGCAGCCCACTCGAGATCACCCCCAGCGACCCCACCACATCGCCTACCACATGAATATATACGGCATACATGTTATCGTCATGCTCGCCGTGGCTGTGTCCATGCGCGTCTCCGTCGTCATGAATGTGCCCGTGTGCGTCTTCCCCGTGGGTGTGGCCATGCATATCCCCTGCATTGACGTGGCTGTGGTCGTGGCTGCTATCTGCATGGCTGTGGTTGTGGCGTTCGGTGTGTGCATGCGCGTGAGTGTCTGATGTATGTGCGTGGTCGTGGCTGTTGTGTGCATGCCCGTGCTCGTCTGCATCACAGTCGGGCGAGTGTCTGTGGTGACTTGTGCTGCCGCTGTCGCTGTTAGCAGTGTTACGCGCATGTCCATGACCACGCCCATCGCTATCTCCATCTGAATGACCCTCGTCGTCTTCATCACTGCTATCGCTGATGCTATGTGTACCCCCTTTACTTGGCCCGCTTTTACTTCGATTATATGCAGCGCTGTTGGGACTGGAGCTTGGCTGCCTGGCTTGCGACCTGGGCTCCTCCTCGAAGTGCTGCGGTATGAAATGTTCGGTACATGCGTGTATGAATGTGTCACAGAATGTGGAATATGTGATCTACCAGTCGATGTGCCGTACGATTTCGATGCAACATTCGCTTGTACCAGCAGTACGGATGAAAAGCCATACACTTGTGCCAGGTCTAATGCTCTAATGCCACATACGCCTCGACCAGCAGAACTGATGGTAAGCACTGCATTCGTGCGATGTTTAACACACCATACACATCTAAAAGCAGTAAAGATGAATCGCCATACACTTGCGTGGGGTTGAGTTGGTAATATTCTAATGTCACGCCGGTATGCCTCACCTGCCAAACTGATATTCAACCCGTCTTTGCGCAAGTCTAACGCACCAACTTAAATACGCAGAGAAAAAGCCTACCTACACCTTGCACATACACATCATCACACGCGCACACGGTGTCAGCGAAGCCAGCTTGTACATGTATGTATTCACACGCACGAAAACATACACTAGATACCAGGACGCGAAGAACGTATAGATGACCTACATGCTCACGAGGGCCGTGCATACAAATGGTTGGCGAATGCATGCGTGACGAATACGGGCGGTCTCCACATACTTAAAAGTGTACAGATACACGCGAATCGCCGTGGACAAATGTATGCTCAAGTCATAGCGACTGACTACTTTCAGATACATACTTACTTCGGCCGAGTTGGCTTTGTTTGCCCTAGTTCGCAAATGTGTCCATGATGCATGAATGACATTTAAAAGTAATCTGTTTGTATACAAATGCACGTACAATTGCAGTAGGTACATGTATGAACTATCCATATCGTGGTCCACATACTTACCGAGGCCGTGCGGGCATTGTTTGTTCTTTGTTCCCCAATCAATCCATGATGCGTGAATGACATTTAATAATGATCTATATGTATCCAAATCTATGTACAATTGTAGTAGGTACATGTATGAACAACTTATATCGTGGTCTGCATACTTACCAAGACCGTGAGAGTATTTTTTGTTCTTTGTTCGCAAATAAACCCATGACGCGCGAATGTGCTCTAAGGCTAATATATGTCTGCAAATATACGTACGACCGTAGTAGATACATGTATGCACAATTCATTTAAATGGTCTACTTGCTTACCAAGGCTGTGTGTGAATTGCTTGATCCCAGTTCATCAATAGAGTTGATATCGCGCAGCATCATAGTGCGGCTCTCACCATGATCATCCTCATCGTCGTTGTCGAAAGACTGCAAAACGGAGAAGACAAATATACTACTCAATACATAC